CTAACCGCAGATGCGAATGCACATGCTCCAACATCTGCGACAGTGGCGAACGAGCAGAGATCAGTCGTCAGTGCCAGTGTCAGACCTGCCGTAATAGGTGTCCGTTAGGACAGATCGCGGACCCGAACAACAATTGCGAGTGTGTATGCACGGAACGATGCTACAACAGACAGCCAGCAGATGTCAGCAGCAACTGTTCATGTACAGGCTGCACCAGTGCCTGCCCGCCCGGACAAATCCCGGATCCTCTGAACCAGTGTGCATGTGCGTGTACTAACCGTTGTGAGAACGGTCAGTTAGCTAGTGTGGGCAACAACTGCGTTTGTGAACCTGTTTGCAGCACATCCTGTCCTGTCGGTACAGCTCCTGATCCACGCAATGCGTGCAGATGTGTGTGCACTAGCAAATGTCTGGATGGGCAAGTCTCTGACATCACAACGGGTTGCAGATGTACCTGTCAAAATGTCTGCCCGGCAGGTCAAGTTGCTGACCCAAGGAATAACTGTCTATGTGGATGCAGCAACCAATGTCCAAATGGACAGAGACCTCAGCCTGAAGCTGGGTGTAGATGCACATGCCAAAACTCGTGTCCGAAAGGACAAGAAACTGATCCGTCAAAGAACTGTCAATGCCGCTGTAGTAATCAATGTCCTGAGGGACAGATCTCTGAACCACGCAAGGGATGTAGGTGTGTCTGCCAAAACTCGTGTCCGAACGGTCAAGCAGCTGATCCAAAAAACAACTGTCAGTGTGGCTGTAGTGACCAGTGCCCTGATTCATTGGTGGCTGATCCTAGGGATGGATGCCGGTGTCGATGTGCCAATTCGTGTCCAGGTGGGCAGATAGCTGATCCAGCCAACGGATGCCAATGTGAATGTAGCAATAGATGTCCAGACGGTCAGATAGCTGATTTAGCCAACAGATGCCAATGTGGATGTAGCAATAGATGTCCAGACGGTCAGATAGCTGATTTAGCCAACAGATGCCAATGTGGATGTAGCAATAGATGTCCAGACGGTCAGATAGTTGATTTAGCCAACGGATGCCAATGTGGATGTAGCAATAGATGTCCAGACGGTCAGATAGCTGATTTAGCCAACAGATGCCAATGTGGATGTAGCGATAGATGTCCAGACGGTCAGATAGCTGATCCAGCCAACGGATGCCACTGTGGATGTAGCAATAGATGTCCAGACGGTCAGATAGCTGATCCAGCCAACGGATGCCGATGTGGATGTAGCAACAGATGTCCAGACGGTCAGATAGCTGATCCAGCCAACGGATGCCAGTGTGGATGTAGCAATAGATGTCCAGACGGTCAGATAGCTGATCCAGCCAACAGATGCCAATGTGGATGTAGCAACAGATGTCCAGACGGTCAGATAGCTGATCCAGCCAATGGATGCCAATGTGGATGTAGCAATAGATGTCCAGACGGTCAGATAGCTGATCCAGCCAACAGATGCCAATGTGGATGTAGCAATAGATGTCCAGACGGTCAGATAGCTGATCCAGCCAACGGATGCCGATGTGGATGTAGCAACAGATGTCCAGACGGTCAGGTAGCTGATTCAGCCAACGGATGCCAATGTGTGTGTAATAAAAGATGTCCAGACGGTCAGATAGCTGATTCAGCCAACAGATGCCAATGTGGATGTAGCAATAGATGTCCAGACGGTCAGACAGCTGATTCAGTCAACGGATGCCAATGTGGATGTAGCAATAGATGTCCAGACGGTCAGATAGCTGTTCCAGCCAACGGATGCCAATGTGGATGTAGCAACAGATGTCCAGACGGTCAGATAGCTGATTCAGCCAACAGATGCCAATGTGGATGTAGAAACAGATGTCCAGACGGTCAGGTAGCTGATTCAGCCAACGGATGCCAGTGTCGCTGTAACAGTCAGTGTCCAGGGGGACAGATTTCTGATCCTCGAAAAGGATGTAGTTGTGCTTGTCCAACCTCTTGTCCTAGCGGTCAAGCAGCTGACCCAACTAACAATTGCCGATGCCGTTGTAGCATTCCGTGTCCTGAAGGACAAATCCCTGATCCTGAAAATGGGTGCACATGCAGCTGTTCTAACCCTTGCCCGATCGGGCAGATAGCCGATCCATTCAACAAATGTCAATGCCGATGTGAGAATCGATGTCCAGAAGGACAAACAGCTGACCTACGTAACGGTTGTAGATGTGGCTGTTCCAACTCATGTCCACCAGGGATGGTCCCTGACGTGACCCGAAGATGTGCCTGCCGTTGTCAAGCAACATGCCCCACGGCTACCCCAGAAAACGGCTGTGTCTGCAATGAATGCCCAGTCTCAACCTGTCTAAATGGCAGGAAACCTAATCCTAAGACCTGCCAATGTGAGTGTCCGAATCAGTGCCCACGAGGAAGCACGCCGAATCCTGATGCGAATTGTGAATGTCAGTGTGCAAATAGGTGCTTGCTTGGACAGACTCCAGATTTGACAAATAACTGTTCATGTTCGCTTTCAGAATGTCCTCCGGGGCAGTCTTTAAACGTCGAAAAGGTCTGCACAACTGAAAAATGTCCGAATACATGCCCTCCAGGACAAATCAACCACCCAAGAAGCAACTGTGTTTGCCAATGCTCACTCAAATGTCCTAACGGTCAAAACGCGGATCCTCGAAATAACTGCCAATGTTCGATTTTAAACTGCCCTCCAGGACAGACTTTTGATATTAAACTGGGTTGTGTACCTTTGCAGTGTTTGAACAAATGTCCTCCAGGACAAACAGCCCACCCAAGAAACGACTGTATTTGCCAATGTTCCGCAAGATGTCCTACCGGACAAACAGCGGACCCTGGAAACAACTGCAATTGTCCTAGTGCAAACTGCCCTTCAGGACAAACGTTTGATAGTAAAAACGGTTGTATAAATTCTCAATGTCCCAACAAATGTCCCCCAGGACAATCAGCTCAAAAAAGAAATAACTGTATTTGTAAATGTTCCGCAAGATGTCCTAATGGACAAGCAGCAGACTCCCGAAACAACTGCATTTGTCCAAATGTGGCATGTCCTCCAGATCATACTTTAGACCCAGTCAAAGGCTGTACTCCGTCACAGTGTCCTAGGGCATGTCCTTCGGGACAAACCGCTCGCCCAGAAAATGGTTGTATTTGTCAATGTCCTCTCAGGTGTCCCAACGGACAACTAGCAGAACCAAGAAATAACTGCACTTGCCCAGTAGAAACATGCCCACCAGGGCGCACTTTGAACGCAGCCAAAATATGCATACCATCGCAATGTCCTAATGCGTGTCCTCCAGGACAAACAGCTGACCCAAAAAACGGCTGTGAATGCCAGTGTCCCACTAGATGTCCGGACGGTCAAACATCAGACCCTCGGAACAACTGCAGATGTAGATGCTCTAGTGAATGTCCTGTGGGAAAATCCACAAACCCAGGAACCAAATGCATATGCCAATGCACAAGAAACAACTGCCCCGCTGGAAGCACCAGACAAAATCCAACAACGTGCCTCTGTGAATGTGTAGATCCAAGTCTGTACTTCAACAGCACCTCTGGAGTATGTTCAGGTAAGCTGTTGGGATAAGTTTTGATGTCGACTATTTACTGTAAACGTATTTTTAGGCAACAAGTTGATGATTATTAGCAATGCAGTGTTATGTAATCACAATCGATATTAATTCACGGTGGTCATTCACATACATGTTCAGTTATTCCATGCAGCAGCCACTCCAGAGTACCTCTACTGATTTTTTCCCCTTGAAAAGTAGCCTAATTTCGTCTTCTGCCTTTCTAACCCCCATCGGAGCATGGGCCCTCAACCAAGTCGTTCTATCCTTTGCTATCGCATGTAGCTCTCACCATGTCCTCCCCATCTTTTTAACTTCTCTCGCTAGCTCTTTATTCCATTTTTTGTTGGGGGGGAGGGGAGGTAGGGGGTTTCTTCCTTTATTTCTCTAGAAGAAGTGTCAGTGAGAGAGCAAGGTAACGCGAGAGGATTATCGACCCCTACTTCACCACACCAATGGCATGGAGGGGTGTCAACACATGAGCTGAACCACGCTGTTGGAGAGGCATGTTCGCTGAGCTAGTCCGGAGAGCACTTGATGATGATGATGATGTTAATGATGATGATGAGACAAGAGGTTTTTACGAAATTAATGTACCTAATGATTGATTAGACTGAACATCTCACTAATTTAAGTAGATCAACACTGTACAGCTTTATCTTAAAAAAAAAAAAAAAACCAGTATTAATGGAACAAACAAGTAGGACAGCCACCACTGCAATCGAATGTTTCGACGAAAAACAAACAAATCAAGATCTACAAACAAAAGATGGACACGGTTACACAACAAAGAAATACGAAGAAAAAACAAGAAAGGAGAAAATAGAAACATTTCAAGGAAAGAAATGGTCTGGCCATCTGGCAATGATGCGCCAGTACCGACTGCTTCAACAAGCCAGGTTGGAGAACTATAAGAAACAGACCATGCCAAAGATTGAACCAACTTAGATTGATCTAATATTGGTATAATTATTGACTTGTTGATTGACAAATGTTTGACCTAATGGTTGAATTAATGATTGACCTAATAAATGATCTAAAGGGCGACCTAATTATTGATTTAATTGTTGACATAATGAATGTCCTAAAGATTGGTATATATTTGAAATAATGACTGGTCAACGTTTGACCTAATGTCTTACCTGACAATTGACATAATGCTGGATCTAATTATTGACCCAGTAAATGATCTAATGGTCATCCTAGTCACTGATCTAATTATTGACATATGAATATCCTAATGACTGGTCTGTGTTTGACCGAATGACTGACCAGTGTTTGACTAATGGCTTACCTGGCAACTGACATAATGATGGATCTAATAATTGACCTAATAATTTTTGACCCAACGACTGACCTAATAGTCGACATAATTATTGACCTAATAACTGGCCTAAATATTGAACTAGATAAATTATTGTATCGGTAAATCTTCACAGATGCCGACAGGATACTTCCTTGTCCTGCGCAGGTGTGTCCGAACTCACAGGTGTTTAATACCGTCTCCTGCAGGTGTGGTAAGTAATTCAAAGTATCTTTGCTTCCTTTCTCATGAAAAGATATCAAACCAAACTAATAGTAGAACAAGTCGATTTTACATTATCAAAACACAAGCAACGCGTGAACGTGGCTGGTGACGTACTGTTTTTTTAAGTTATGCTGTGAGCATGCTTAAGAAGACTGAGACAGGATGGATTCGGAGACAATTGTTGGAGTCACTGAGGAAATCTCGTCTGACAGGAAACAGTTACTTGTTGTTGTTGTTGTTGTTGTTGTTGTTGTTGTTGTTGTTGTTGTTGTTGTTGCCAAGGCACTCTGGTGTAAGAGGGAATGAACGAGCCGATTGGTTTGCTGGTAGGTCATGTTATGTACAGGAAAGGCAATGGATAGTATAACAGATTATGTTGTTACTTTACTTAGTCGATCCTCTTCTGCTTAGTGATAAGTGAAGTCACATAACAGATTATCACAAGTAGAAATTTACTCACTTTCAAAATTGCTTGATATTTGCCCCTTATTACGAATTCATCTAGAAACAGCAGATCAAGTGGTTTGGCCATCTCGTTAGAATGCAGCAAGATCAAATACCATCACAAGCACTACATCTCAGAAGATCAGCCACATGAGCAATAGGACGGCCGTGAAAACATGGATCGACAACATTAAAAACACTATATACCTTCACAGCATGACAATAGCCAGTGGCAGCCAACGTGCACTGGATCGCTGATTATTCCTCCCCACGGCGCTTAACGACAGAAGTGGTTTATGATGATGATGATTACTGCTAACCCAAGACTCTTCGTTTTTACCGACTGCACCACTTTGAAGAATACTGCTTTCGCTGATTATTCTACATTCTGTAGCAGGTCATTTGTAGAAGATCGCTTTCATCACACCCTGCCTAAAGGAAACTTAGATCCTCGCTAGAGCCTTCGCCTCGTACATTCGCATGCTCAAGGAGTCCCTTATGGACTGTGCCCATCTTCGTGCTGATTTGTTATAACGCCCACTGAATCTCGTTAGACGACTTCGTCGCCGGTCGGGACAGTATTTAGTCCGTCTGCTTTGATCGCATGAACCCTGCAAGAGTCCTTTTCACGGTTGTTAGTGGCCTGCAATGCTAAGTCATTTTATATGGCGCACATAACCTTGTCACAATTATAACCTAAAGCTCCTCATTCAAGGATGCTGGTTGCACGGGACGATTGTTGCTATTATTTTTTTTTTCCGGTTCACTAAAGGCCTGAATCGTCCAGTTACTGACACATGATGCGGTTTATAAGCCAATCTTTCCTGACGTTCAGATCATTTTAAGATCTGGATATTTCTGTGATTTTTTGCCCACAATATAGCTGATGAGTTAGTCTTTCCCCTTGAGCCCAGGGTGGCGCATAGGGCAGAGGTCATAGCTCTCTATGTCTGGCAGGTTGTTGCCACATGTTTTAGATCTTGGATGTTTGTTAGGCCTATGGTTGAGCCTTCCCTGATGATGATTCTACACAGGGTCTCTCTTGGTCTTCCCATGTTTCGCCTCCCTTACGGTGTCCATATGAGGGCCTAGTTGGGAGGGGAAAAAAAAGGGGGGGGGGGGGTTGTCTTATCCATTCTCATAACATTTAAAACTAGAAATCTGATTCTAAAACAAAGGATGTTTTTACGGTGACGGCTTGTCGGGTCCAATTGAATTCAAATTCCTTTCAAGTAAAAATAAAACTCAAACACGTTCAACCTGCTGCTAGCTAGCCGACGCTGCCAACAGTCCCCGGCTATATTTGTGGTCTTGTTTAACTGCGCCACTTTCGTGGCTAAAGTTCTGGTATTTGCGCCATCTTTGGGCTTAAAGCTTCTTTCCTTCAAGTCAGACCGCTCATTCCCTATCCAGTTGTCAACTGTGTTTTTCTTGCACTTTCACTTCTGATGTCGACCAACAGTCTTAAGCCAAGCTAGAGGGAAAACACATCCCGCCATATTGACCCAAACTGCTGATTATTACATTTATTTTACAATTGAATTCCCACGATATAGAGTCTGCTGAGACCGGACGCGACTGTTCAACACAGCCATGTCAACAGAACCAAGTAGGTCGCAGAGACTGCAATGGTCGCTGTTACTGCGCGTGCAAAGAGGGATACGTAGGCATCAAATGCGAAATACGTCTGCAGCGTAAGTATCCTAAGATGTGTGAAATTTTCAGTGTCTTCTTCAAGACGCAAACTTACTATGGCCATACTCCAGCTGTGTCGTTTCCACGCCACACAGAGGACTCGCACTCAATTCCTTTACTCCGTTTATCCTGTGAAATTTTGTCTACCTCATGAATGCAAAACAGTCCGGCACCTTTGGTCTCTACCACTGACATTCTTAACAAGATTTCTAATGGTCGTTCTCGTTGCCTCAATCAATTTGTTTCAAATGTCATTGCATGTTTTGTCCTTCTCTGTTGGCTTCTTCTCATGGTTGCCCCAGTATATCACCATCTTCAGTAATTTAATTGATGATACCAGTGTCTGTCTGTCTGTCTGTCTGTCTGTCGGTCGGTCGGTCGGTCGGTCGGTCGGTCGGTCGGTCGGTCGGTCGGTCGGTCGGTCGGTCGGTCGGTCGGTCGGTCGGTCGGTCGGTCGGTCGGTCGGTCGGTCGGTCGGTCGGGTCGGTCGGTCGGTCGGTCGGTCGGTCGGTCGGTCGGTCGGTCGGTCGGTCGGTCGGCGTCGGTCGGTCGGTCGGTCGGTCGGTCGGTCGGTCGGTCGGTCGGTCGGTCGGTCGGTCGGTCGGTCGGTCGGTCGGTCGGTCGGTCGGTCGGTCGGTCGGTCGGTCGGTCGGTCGGTCGGTCGGTCGGTCGGTCGGTCGGTCGGTCGGGTCGGTCGGTCGGTCGGTCGGTCGGTCGGTCGGTCGGTCGGTCGGTCGGTCGGTCGGGTCGGTCGGTCGGTCGGTCCGTCCGTCCGTCCGTCCGTCCGTCCGTCCGTCCGTCCGTCCGTCCGTCCGTCCGTCCGTCCGTCGTCCGTCCATCCATCCATCCATCCATCCATCCATCTATCTATCTATCTATCTATCTATCTATCTATCTATCTATCTATCTATCTATCTATCTATCTGTCTATCTATCTATCTATCTATCTATCTATCTATCTATCTATCTATCTATCTATCTATCTATCTATCTATCTATCTATCTATCTATCTATCTATCTATCTATCTATCTATCTATCTATCTATCTATCTATCTATCTATCTATCTATCTATCTATCTATCTATCTATCTATCTATCTATCTATCTATCTATCTATCTATCTATCTATCTATCCACAGACACACACACCCACATCCACAGACATACACACCCACAGACACACACACCCACATCTACAGACGCACACATCCACATCCAAAGACACATACGCACACACTCACCACTGACACACACACACACACCTTCATCCACAAACACACACCCACAGACTCACCCATATCCACAGACACATACGCACACACTCACCACTGACACACACACACCCACATCCACTGACACATACGTACACACTCATCACAGACACAGACACACACACCCACATCCACAGACACACACACACACCCACATCCACATACGCACACGCCACTGACACACATGTAAAGCATAAAACAACTGATAATGTAACGTTATTTCTCTGAACTTTCCCAACACAAAGCGGATTTATGCAGCAACTGTTCCTTCGACAACGGCCACTACCACACTGGGTTGTCCGGGCACTGTGACATGTTCGTTGTCTGCATACCTGTTAGAGGAAAGAAGCAGGCAGCTGCGGGTCCGTTGTTTGTGCCCCGGATCATGTCCTGTCCCCCCGGGACATACTACGTGACTCGGCCCAGCGGATGGAAGGGCTGCGATCACCCAGAGAATGGTCGTTGTTCCAGTGGTAAATATTGTGTGTATGCATGTGTATGTGTGTGTGGTGTGTGCGTGTGTGTGGGTGTGGTTGAGTGGAGTCTGCGGGTTTGTGTGTGTGTATGTGTACTTGCGTGGAGTCGGTGTGCTTGTGAGTGTGTGTGTATTTGTGTGGAGTCTGTGTGTTTGTGTTTGTGTGTGGTGTCAGTGTGTTTGTGTCTGTATTTGTGTTTGTGTTGAGTCTGTGTGTGGGTGTGTGTGTGGTTGTGTGGAGTCTGTTGGTTTGTGTGTGTGGTTGTGTGGAGTCTGTGTGTTTGTGTGTGTGTGTATGTGGAGTGTGTATGCCTGCGTATGAAGTGTGTGTGTGTGTCACTCTGGTACCAATTTCCTAGAGGCTGGGTGAACACCGGGAGCCGCCCGGTTTCGAACACCGACCGTAAGCCGCAGCGAGTGGCAGCTGGATTTGAAAGCGAGCCTCTTATTGACTACGATAACGCGGCCCCCTAATCTTTAATGAAATGCACTTCTTACCACATTTATTATATTTACAAACTTCTCAAGAAAACAAAAACGTCTCTAACTGTTGATTTTATTAATAAATTTGGAATGTATTTATAATAAGGGTTTTTTTTTTTTTTTTAAAGTATCCAGAAACCATGAGTTGGTAACCCTTTGACTCGGTACTATGGATATCGCAACCTTCCGGCCTTGATTCCATGATAGATACCGTAAATCTGGGAGAAATATGGTTTTTCTGCCTACCCCTGGGAGTGTTCCCGGACCACAAGGAGTTCGTCACCCGGTCGTCGCGAAATCATGTTTAACCAACAACGCTAACGAGCCGGGCGTAATTGGGTGCTAAAATAAACAGACTGTTCTAAGAACTAAAAGATTAATTTTAAAAATAGATTTTCAGACCTGCTTAGAACTTCATGGGGGGGGGGGGGGCCGCTCTACTTCCCCCTTCCCTACTCCCAGTTTGGAGACCAATACCGTAAAGGTAATCGCCTAGGGAGAGACTGATGACGTGGTCGTCCTCCTCATCAATGAAATTTGCCTCCTAAAGTTTATAAACATTGCATCAAGTAAAAGTAAAGTCGGGAGATGTGAACCAGCCTCATTGTACACGGTTATAAACCATAAGTGCTCTGCCACCAGTACGGACGGCTGATAAGAAACTGACCGCCTGTTTCACCGTCTGCACGCAACTCCGTAGCTTAAGCGAAGTTCCTTCATTTACTCCAGAGTGTTAACTCGGGTACCGATTTCCTACAGGCTGGGTGAACCCCGGGAACCGATGCGTTTTGAACAGCGGCCATGGGTTGCAGCGAGCCGCAGTTGGATTTGAAAGCGAGTATCCTATCGTCTGCGTTAACGTGACCCATGTAACAAGTACATTAAACTTATAGCCGAAACAATAAATCAGTTGGCCTAGACATCAAAGTTAAATCAAAAAATCTTTTTTTTTTTAGACAGTGGTATAAGAATCGCACCGTGGAAGAGACTGGGAAATCGCTACGTAATATTCCCAAAAAGACAGCTGTTGAGGCAGATATTGTCTGCAGTCAAACTCCACTCTTAGGACGGTACCCATATTTTTTATGGATAGACTAGACTTGCATGTAGCGATGTACAAAGATGTAAATATAACTGAGAAACAGAGTGTCTTGAGAAAGGTGGAGACAGGCATGCTCCTTGCAGAGTGGCAAGCATCGCTTCAGAGGTCCTGGGTAGGTAGCGTGCTTTGGATATTTTCTCCAGGTTGTGCTAGTGTGTTGGGAAACGAGCAGGCAGAAAGATTTGTTGGTTCTGCACCACTTAGTGGAGAATTGATGTATGACACGCTAGATGTTGCGACATTTCTTTGGGAGCGAGTGAACAGTACGAAGGCACAAATAGATTATTATGGTCTGAGGAGAATGGCCCAGCGTTGAGTTACCAAGGTATATGACCGACGCTCAACACTCATGGGTATGGCGAGACGCATGTACAATCAGACTGTTACTGGTAACATGGAAATTGGAACTCTTCGCTTGCTGCTGAAGATGAGGGCGGAGCGCTTATGGGAGTGTACCGTGTGCTGTGATGTCGATTCTTAATTCAACATTCATTTGTTCTACACGCTTGTTGCCAATAATTAATGAAATAAACCAGCTAAACAATCTTCTTTCTTCTTTTGTCCGACTGTGTATGCCGTAAAATATCAGAGAGAAGGGTTTGGTGTAATTTCCTGTCCTTTCTGTTAGCAGTAGGACTTGACAGTTTTCAACTTTGATCAAATGTTTCCTTGCTGAAGATTATACTGTAGAGGAAATATATCTATATATGAACATGTTCTCTGTCCCTCGCACAGATAGATGTGAAACATCTCCACCCAACGGCAGATATGCTGATCCGACTGCCTGTCAATCTTACTGGCAGTGTGGCCCGGACAGGAGGCTGTCCTCCAAGGGATGCTGCCCAGCTGGCCACAGATTTGAACCCAGCTCCTCCCAGTGTGTGCCTGACAGCTCGTGTCCAGTCACATGTGGAGGCAACAGAACACACGCATGTGCTGGTGAGCACAGCCAGTTCGTCAGTAAGTAGAAGCTGTTTGTTTGTTGTTCCCTAAGTTTCATGTCTGGGTTCCGGAGACCCATTTAATTCACGGGTGAGAATATATTAATAAAGCAACAGCAAATGTATTGATCGGCACTCATAGAAAGAAGTAGAAAGATAGAAGAACACACTAGACAACATAAAATCGAAAGCTAAAGTTACCGTACCGGGAATTGACCCTGTCACCGCCAGACGGCGTGAGCACCTCGCTATGAATAGAAGTGCACTAAGAACAGGGTCAACTAGACATCTCCAAAAGTGTCTTGGGTGAGAATAGACCCACTATGTGGCGTAGGCTGAGGTGCAGTCAGGGTTGCCCTGCTCGCCACAATGACCCCGGGGTTGGGGGTTGAAAAAAGGGGGCGGGGAAGGCAAACATGTGTGCGTTTATAATAAAATTTGTTTGTGTGTGTGTGGGGGCGGGGAGGGGGGAGTGGGATTGACAGGAAATTGACCGCATTAGAGAGGACGGTCTAAAGTTTTCATACTTAGATTAGCGGTTTCAGATGTTCAATATGGCCGCAGTCTGTTGTTCGGCAAACATGCACGAGGTAGCCGAACTCATCCCACAACTGGAAGTGAACTGAAGGGTCCTTGCTGGCATGCTCGCACTCGATTGGTTGGTTACACAACTACGTTCTAGTAGTAATATTCGCAACTTCAGACCTTTCCCCCTTTTTCTTTTGAATGTATATTAATAATTTATAACGTATATAAAATATATATATATATATATATATATATATATATATATATATATATATATATATATATATATATATATGAATGAAAGTGTATCCATCATTGTAAATGAGCCTGTATAATATAGGTTAGTTGCGTATCCTTTACAGGACGTTGCAGAACCAACCCAAACGCCCCTAGCTGTTGTGTGGTTTTGCTAGGCAAATTTACGTCCAGTGGTTTGCCATTGCTTCTGGACGGTCGGCTTTCTTGATCGGATTAAAAGTTAGTTGCGTATCCTTTTACAGGACGTTGCAGAACCAACCCTAACAGCCCCTGGCTGTTATGTGGTTTCTCTAGGCAATATACGTCCAGTAGTTTGCCATTCCTTCTGGACGGTCGGCTTTCTTGATACCGCTGTCGAAACCAACGCAAGGCGCAGTGCCCGCAGCTGGGATCGAACCTGGCATCCCGGCATTACGAAGCGAAGCGTTCGCATCGACTTAGCCACAGAGCCGACCTGTATAATATACTTAAAACAATATGAAAGGTTCGCGTCGGTACTTAATCAAGACTACATCTATAGATAGTTTGGATGAAATGAATTTGCTGCGGTACCAAGCCTCCTGTAATTTTTCTGCACGGAGGAGGACCGTCTTAGCCTCCTGAAAATAAATGAGGAGGTGGGTGGAAGGTTCCTCTTGTGTCTTTCTAGCCCCCAATGAAGTACAGGCCCTCAACCAACTCACGCCAAGTCGTTCTATCCTTCGCGGTCGCATGCAGTTCTCTCCCCCTATGTCCTCGCCATCTTTTTAACGTCACTCTCTAGCTCCCTTCTCCATGTGGATTTGGTCTTCCTTTATTTATATGCCTATGTGGGTTCCAGTGCAAAGACATACTCTGTTATGTTTATTTTGCTGAATACGTTTGTTGTTTTTCCTACAGCGTACACAAATCTCACATTCCAGGTGCCAGTTCTGGAAGTTTTCCTAGATAAAAGGAGGCACGTCGAAGATCTGGACTCCTTTCGGCTTGCTCCACGCACAGCGCCATACTTCTTCTACTAGACGTAATAAACAAACAGACAATGTATCGATCGGCACTCATTGAAAGAAGCAGAAACATAGAAGAACACTACAAATCGAAAGATATAGTTACCGTGCAAGGAATCGAACCTGTCACCTTGAAAAAGAGATATAGAAACACGGGCACTAAGAACATTTTAACTAGGCACCCCCCCCCCCCCCCAAGATTTCATTGGCCATGTCTATCTTACAGCTTGAAATCCATAACTATGGAATACGAACAGAATTTGTGACACAAGAGCCTTTCTTCACCATTGTTCGCTGGACTTGTCCCTGACTGGTTGGTTATTGTGGCTATTGTTTTTTACAGGATGAGCCAGCCAACCTTTAGCCTAACCCTCCCCTTAGTCGCCTCTTACGACATGCCTGGAAGAGTGCAGTGTTATTATTCTATGCTTTCCGTAAGAGCCCCGATGACGCATGGGCGGAGGGCTTCCTCGGCTTTCTGAAAATAAATGGGAAGGGGAGCAGGGAGGTTCCTTAGAGCCCTTATCCTCTGTTGGTGTGGTTGTTCAATGTGCCTGAGTGACTCAGGTTTCGGCGCTCATTATGATAGTTACAATCTACCAAATGTGTCGGGAATGGATAGCTGGTGAAACTGAGGTATCGGTCCGAAAACTCTTCTCTTCTTTCACTCTTGTCTCTACTCCTCGCGGCGTCAGGTCAGGAAGAAATCTCTGGAACGAGCCCTTTTGTTCGCTTCGTATAAAGTACTTTTTCAGTGTCTCTAATATTTCTGAGGGTATATGTTCTGCATGCTTCTGTTATCGCTGTACTTGCATTACACTACCCTCTGTGGTGTCCTGTCTGATTCAACATCATCATGAGCAGGTCCTTTGCCGAACGTCGCTCTCATCACGGCCTGCCTGAAAGAAACTCGGTCTCTCGCCAGTTCTCCCGCCTCATGCACTTTCATACTCAAGGAGTCACTTATATCCTGTGCCCATCTTCGTGTCGGTCGGCCCCTGCCCCTCCTTCCTGGTACCATGCGTTTTGCTATAATTTTTTTTCCAATCTGCTTGATGTGACCAAAATATTTCAGCTTTCTAGAAAGGATGCTGTAAATTAGCCAATCTTTCTTGATGTACAGATCTTTCAAGATGTCAGTATTTCTCCTCTTCTTTGTCCAAGATATTCTGAGAATCTTTCTATAGCAATTCAGCTCAAAAGCCCCTATTCTCTTTCTTAAGGACTGTGAGATAGTCCACGACTCACATCCGTATGTTGCTACAGGGAAGATGCATGCTCTCAAAATTCTAATTTTGATCTCCTTTCTGTCTGATTACAGTCTTATTATATGACCAAATCGATTGTGCAGACAATGGTCAGACAGTCAACAGAAACTGGTGACCCAACGACACGTAGTTGTACGGGATGATTATGATGAAACCATTTGACGTGCTGTCTGCCTATAAATTTTAGAATTGGTTCTGTGCCGACTCTTCTGCTTATATCATTGTTGGTCCAGAATTGATTAATGAAAATTCCCACCGAGGTGACTTCATTACGTACACAGGTGGGTCTGTAGTCAGATGTTGTAGATTATAGTTCAATGTGCCCACGTGTCCTATTTGTGGTAGTTGAAATTTTCATCTTCATGCAGTTATCTCACCCCATTCTTGTTCTTTGAAAATAGTGATAGTTGCCTAATGCAATTCCTAGAAGGGCTAAGGCCAACAATCGATTGCATAAATGCAGTTTGTTGTTGATGGAAGTAGTCAGTCCTGGTAAGTTGGCCGTGCACTTGCAAAATAATTACAAAAGGTATTTCACGACACAATCGTTGCACAAATGAAAGGCATTCCACGTGAAAAGCACAGCTCACAGAGCTGCACCAAAGACTTCTTGTAGTTTAGGAAGCAAAATCGTTGCCGTCCTTTATATGTAGAAACTGCATTATCATAGCGCCGTCAAGGGTAAAAAGAAACACCTAAAGATCAACCATCTGCCCGCCTATCTTCCACACTGGGCCGGAAGTCAAATCCACTTGTATTCTTTTTATCACCTCACCGCCATCCGAGTTTTAAACTTAATTTTATTTTCCAGCAGGTTGTCCATACGATGTCAGCCTCGCTAACCCGAATGAGTTTTTCTACAAGTTCATGCCCGGGTCCTCCTTCCGCTGCCAGCCTATGGAAGTGATGGACGTGGGCGAGTGTCGTTGTGTGAGAGATCAACGTTTAAGTCCCTCGGGTAAGTCACTATGGGCTCCGTAAATAAGTAAACGACACTCTTTCCAGCCATTGTAGCAACGATCGTATGATAAATCAGTAAGTTACTCTGACGTATTAGGCAAATAGGGCTAGACCTATATTATTATAGACCAGTCAGTACCACAGCGGCCGCTTTTGTTTCCCCTGACTTACCTGGTACCCATTTAAGGTTGGGTCGACGTGGGAGCCAGGGTCGTTTTGAGAAAAAGTGCAGTTCTGTCCGGATCCGAACCCATGACCTTACCGTCCGCAGATGAGCGTTTAGCCGCTACACCAGGGTGACCCTGGGGCATATTATGCTGGTTTCATATTTTGATATACCTTTGATGAGGGTCAACATCACGCCGGCCACCTTTACTTCTACAGACTTTACCTGATACCCATTTTATGCTGGATCGACCTCGGAACTAAAGTCATTTTTGAAAGACACAAATTTGACTCTACGAGGAATGCAACCCCTTACCTTATGGCAGGCAGGCGGAACGACTAGCCGCTACACCACTCTCAATGGAAGATATGCTCTCAACCAACTCATACCAGCAGTCTTCTTCTTTGCAGCTCCACTCACAGACTCCCCCTTCATCTTAATCTCACTCTCTAGCTATCGTCTCAATGCACGTGTGTGTGTGTGTGGGGGGGGGGGGGGTGTTTTTTCTGTGTTTTTTCTCTGCTTTTTCTTCAATGTTCCTGTGGGTTCTAGTGCAAAGCTCTTCTGGCTATATTGTTCTCGTGTTTTCTTAACGTCTCATCCTATGCCAGCATCTTTTCTTCACCTCTTGATCTATAGGAATTTGTTTAGTTCTCTCCCAACGAGACATGGTGTCTGCAACGAGTGCTAGAAGTTCCGTGTTCAATCCCTGACTTCTAGTAATTCCCCCTGGTCCCTGGGTAGTGTGATTGGACGCCCGTGTGCATTGTTGCGCACGTAAAAAAATCTCTTGCCAGTTGGAAATCGAAAAGAGTTGCCTAACGGCTCTGCCCGGGCAAAATTTGGGGTACAAAATCTACCCAAAGTATTTCAGGATCCTCGCCAGTGCTACAGAGCCTGTGCATTGCGCTGAGCTTCTTCGGACTCAGACTTGAGTTAGAAACAGAAATGAGTACTTATGGGTTACACCCGTATGCCATGATGTTGATCTGCTGTTCCAACCCCAAAACCCAAGCTCTGTTACTAGGGACTTTATCATTTCACGTATTTCCCTCTACTCTACGAACACATCATCTTCATCATGTAGCAGGTCCTTGGCAGAACGTCGCTCTCATGACGATCTGCCTGAAAGAAACTCGGTCTCTCGCCACTTCTCCCGCCTCATGCACTTTCAGACTCAAAGAGTCACTTATATCCTGTGCCCATCTTCGTGTTAGTCGGCCCCTGCCCCTCCCTACTGGTACCATGCCTTCTGCTATAATTTTTTTTTTTCAAATCCGTCGTTGCGCTTGTTATGACCACAATATTTCAGCTTTCGAGACAGGATGCTGTTTATTAGCCAATCTTCCTTAATGTTCAGATCTTTTAAGATGTCAATATTTCTCATCTTCTTTGTCCAAGATATTCTGAGAATATTTCTATAGCATTTCAACTCAAAAGCCCTTATTCTCTTTCTTAAGGACTGATTCTACGCACACACTAGTTAATAAAGGTCTGTAGTTCATTATCTCAAAATTAAACTTGTACTATTTGGGCAGTGGAGAAATTTCGTGGAAATTAAATGTAAGCTAATGTTGCGTTGCATTAGCGCTTGCTTGTGGATCGAAAGGTCGTGGGCTCGGGACCTGGCTAAGTGAACCCTTTTTATTTTGTTCAAATGGCTTAGGCTTCCAGGTCGATCCAAGCCTTGAGTGGGTAGCAGGTATACTTCTTCTTCTTTTTTGCGTTCACCAGCTATAAACTCCGGCGGAAAATTCAGGTTGTTCATTCTCCTGTGGACTTTAGACTTATACCAGAACCTGGATGTTGCGTGCGCATCCTTTTTACAGATCTACTTATCCATATGCAGACTGTTGATTCCTTGCCTCTTAAGCAGATGCTGTCCGACTTCAAAGAAAACTTCCATTTAGTCGACTTTTACGACATGCTTGTCGCAGAGACAGAAGGTCTATTTTCGTCCCCTTTCCCACAAAGGGGCCCAGGAACCCATACGGGGAGGTAGCAGGTATAGTTATGAGAAGTAAAGGCAGCCGGCAAGATGTTAACCACATGACCCACCGAGTGCCCATTGGTATAGAAAACATCGGTCAAGCCCTATATGCCAAATACATCTGAGGGCGAGGGAAAAGGTCATTTACTTAACTCTTTGAGTCCCAGGGGTTTTAGCACCACGGGCCCAATGGGTAGTAAAAATAGACTTAAATCAACACATCATGCGTTCATTGGGCTTCTAGGTGAGAACCTATAAACGTATGATGCGTTTCCTGGAACTCAAAGAGTTAACTAACTTTTTGATGTTTCAATATTTTGGTGATAACTTGTAAGCTAGTATATTTACAGACAGCGGCGGCCGTGGCTTAGGCGTTACCAGTCCGACTCGTAATTCCAACGTATCGTGATCGAAACCCACTGCTGGCTGCGCTGCGTGGATTTTTATCATGGTATGGGGCGTCGCAGGTCGACCCAGCCTAAAATGGATACCATGATGTCGTGGGGAAGTAAAGGCGGCCAGCGTAATGCTGATATTACCCAGCTAGTGCCGTTTGGTCTGTAAAAATATGGGATGCTCCTCTATAAGCACGATGCGCCTAGTGCGTGAAAGGGGATCTTTGCTTATTTTTTTTTCTTTCTATATTCACAGACTGCAAAGCTACGGTTAGTCTCGACTTTGAAGACGTTCCAATGAATGACGAGGACAGAGTTCCCAGGGTGTCGACTGGTAACGGGCATGCTGCTAACTTTCGTGTAAGCGATTCCATGTTTTAGTACATTTTGTTTCTTCTATTACCTTTCGTTTTGTAGAATTATTTGATTTGTGTCATATTAAATCGTGTTCTAATAGGATTTGCTGGCCATTTTGTTGTCTAATGTTTTGGTATCATTTATTAACTGAATAGAAGGAATTAATGTATAATAATAGAATATCCTTGTCATTGAGAGTTAGAAAAAGAATTCTTGCTTGCTACATACATCCAGTTTTAACATATGGCTGTGAATCCTGGACATTCAGTAGGCAGGCCAAACAATTCCTGGAGGCCTCGGAGATGTGGTTTTACAGAAGAATGCTTAGAATACCTTGGACAGCTAAAAAGAGAAACCAAGAGGTTTTGAAAGAGGCAGGAGCCCGAAGACAACTTATCACAGACATCAGAAGGAGACAGTCATCATTTTTCGGCCATGTTATGAGAAGAGGGAAAATAGAACATGTTGTGACCACTGGAAAGATATGTGGAAGGAGAGATAGAGGTAGACAGCGAGAGAAGATGCTTGACAGTCTTGTTGCATGGCATGGAGGTGTGTCGGCACACGAACTGATACATGCTGCAGGAGATCGCAGATTATGGAGAGGCATGATCGCCCTCGCCAGTCGGCAAGGCACCTGATGATGATGATGAATAGAATAGCTAATGTGGAGCTTTGGGAGAGAACAAAACAAGTTTCAGTCGACCAAGAGGTGAAGAAATGACGACGGAGTTGGATAGGACATACGTTGAGAAACTTAAGAACAACATAACTTGAATTATTTGCACTGAATCCCACAGGGGCATAGAAATAAAGGGGGAAAAAGTGGAGAGCCAGAGAGCGAAGTGAACATTCAGGAAGGACACGGGGAGAGCTGAATCCGATAGCGAAAGAAAGAACGACTTGGTATGAGCTGGAGGGCTAGTCTAGTCAACGTCCTATTCCACATACGCTTCTTAAATGAAAAGCATGCTTCACCATACTGGTTCTTCATTGGCCGAAAAATTTATAAAGGGTTAACCCCTTTATTTTTATTTTTTTTATTTTTTTAAACGTATAACAGAAGGCTACTCCTTTTTGGTGCATGTCAAAAGTGAGGTGGCCATCTTTAAACTGTCACTATGATGTCACTCTATTCGTATGCACCGTGAGGGCACGCGATCAACACCCATGACGTTCTTAACAACAATATTGTCATATTACAAGACAATTGGATAGTTAGTGTATTTTTTGTTACAATTTTAATGTAATAATTTGAAGCCACGTCATTAAAACGATGGTTGTAACTAGTGTGCTTATATGCTCCCCAGGGCTCGGATGATATCATTCTGAAGATATTTGCTGGCTCCGGGTTCTGGACAGACTATTTCCAGATAAATCTGCGCCTGCTAGTGTCCGGTCAGCTGGCCAGAGAACCACGGACAGCCGTGGTCACTAATGCTGACTGCGATGTTGAGGAATCCGTGTCCATTACAATGGATAACACCAACTTTTACTTTACGGTCAGGATTATTTGAGCTGTAGTAATTAGTAATAGTAGTAGTAGTAGTGGTAGCAGTAGTAGTAGAAGTAGTAGTAAGAGTAGTAGTAGTAATAGTAGTTGTTGTTTTTGTTGTTGTGGCAGTAGTAGTTATAGTAGTATGTAGTAGTTTTAGTAGTAGTAGTTGTAGTAGTAGCAGTAGTAGTAGTAGTAGTAGCAGTAGTAGTTGTTGTTGTGGTAGTAGTAGGAGTTATAGCGGTAATAGTAGTAGTGGTAGAAGTTGTAGTAGTAGTAGTAGAAGTAGTAGTAATAGTAGTAGTAGTAGTAGTAGTAGTAGTAGTAGTAGTAGTAGTAGTAGTAGTAGCAGTAGTAGTAGTAGTAGTAGTAGTAGTTGTTGTTGTTGTTGTTGTTGTTATGGTGGTGGTAGTAGTAGTTATGGTGGTAATAGTAGTAGTAGTGGTGGTGGTAGTAGAAGTTAGTTGTTGTTGTTGTTGTTGTGGTAGTAGTAGTTATGGTGGTAATAGTAGTAGTGTTGGTGGTGGTAGTAGAAGTTAGTAGTAGTAGCAGTAGTTAGTAGTAGTAGTAGTAGTAGTAGTAGTAGTAGTAGTAGTAGTAGTAGTAGTAGTAGTAGTATGAAGTGGTAGCAGTCGAGCAGTGGTGGTAGTAGTAGTACGTAGTAGTAAGGAGGCAGAGTATAAGTTGTAATAGTTGTAGTAGTAGTAGTAGTAGCAGCAGAAGTAGTAGTAGTAGTAGTAGTAGTAGTAGTAGTAGTAGTAGTAGTAGTAGTAGTAGTAGTAGTAGTAGTAATAGTAGTAGTAGTAGCAGCAGCAGCAGCAGTAGTTGTGGTGGTTGTGGTGGTGGTAATAAGTAATGGTAAAGATAGTGATACAGGTAGTGTTAGTCGTGGTGATAGTAGTAATAAATGTAGTAGAAGTAGTAGTGTAAACCGTAGTTGTAGTCGTAGTAGTAGTAGTAGTAATTGAAGTAGTAGTAATTGAAGTAGCAACAGTAGTAGCAGTAGTAGTAGCAGCAGCAGTAGTAGTAAAAACAGCAGTATTAGTAGCAGCAGCCGCATCAGCAATAGTTGTAGTTTCAGCAGCTGCAGTAGTAGTTGTAATAACAGCAGCTAGTAGTAGTAGCAGCTGCATCAGCAGTAGTTGTTGTAGCAGCAGCAGTAGTAGTTGTAATGAACTCTTCGGGTCCGCATCGGCCTCATCAGTCATCTTCGTACTCATACTTGATGAAAAAGAGTGGTCACCATAATCTTGATGGACAACACACACACACACATACACACACACAGTAGTTGTAATAACAGCAGTAGTAGTAGCGCCTGCTGCATCAGCAGTAGTTGTAGTAGCAGGAGCAGCAGCAGTAATAGTCATAGCAGCAGTAGTGTTTGTCTCCCCTACCACTTCTAGCCCCTCCCTCCAATAATATGTGGCAGCAATTTTCTCCCACCGTAAAAAGACGTTCTCTTTTAAAGCATATGTTTAATAATCATCTCGTCGTCCCCTATGTGGGATCTCCACGGGTGATACTCAACCACACAGTAGCACTTTGTGTCACCGGGTGTTTATCGCTTGGTTGATTTCCCGGCGGGGTAAATTTTACTTACTTACTACTAAGCACTTCTTTATGTATTTCATATTATTTTAGGTATATTATATTTTTTTTTATTCGTCACATAAAAATAGTCATAACAGTAATAGTATTTATTATATTTGTTATTATGACTATCATTATTTGGCAAATAAAAATGTCTAAGCGCCTCAGGCAGAGGTTCTCAACCTGCGGGTCGAGGCCCCTTTGGGGGCCAAACGACTCTTTCCCAGAGATCTACTGAGACCATCGGAAAACACATATTCACTGTAGTAGCAGTAGCAGCGAAAATAATTGTTTGGTGGGGGGGGGGGGAAGGGGGTGGCACCAAAACGTTAGGAACTGTCTTAAAGAGTCTCTGCATTAGGAAGATTGGGGCCACTTGCTTAAACAAACAAAAAAGTAGGGAGGGGGGCTAATCCCAAAAAAGTAGGGGGGGGGGGGGGAGACACTCCTTCCCCCTTCCCCCTAATAGTTCCACGTGGAAATGTAGTTTTATGGAAGAATGTTAGAAATTCTTGGACAGCTAAATAAAATTAGCAGCCCAGATGTTCTGAACGAGGCGAGGGCTCAAAGACCACTTTTCACAAACATCTTGAAGAAACAGTCATCCTTTGTTTTCCATTCTGTGAGAAGAGCGGAAACTGTGATGTGTTGTGACTACCGGTAAGATCTATTTTAAAATGAGACGAAGACATTGCGAGACAATGTTTCAGATTTGTTTGTCCTGTCATGGAGGGGTGTCAGCACACAAGCTGTTAGACACTGCTGACCTTCGCAGATTGCGAAGTGGCATGTTCGCCCATGCCGTTCGGCAAGGCACTTGGTGATGATAATGACTATGATGAAACGTTATACACTCATGTGATGTATGTCCTTCTCTTCTCGGTTCACACCGCTGATCGCCAGTTTTGTTGCTTTCTGTTGAATGTGGAATTAAGAATCGACATCACAGCACTCGGGACACTCACATAAGTGCTCAGTCGCCATATTCAGCAGCAAGCGAAGAGTTTCAGCTCCGATGGTATCAGTAACCGTCTGATTGTATATCCGTCTCATTCTTCTCCTGGGTGTTGAGCGTCGGCCAGATCCCCTGTTAACTCCTCGCAGCGTCAGTCTATTTAGACAGTAATAATCTATCTGCGCCTCCGCACTTTTCACTCGCTCCCAAAAGGCCCTCACAATATCTAACTTGTCATACATCAATTCACATTGAAGTGGGGCAGAGCCAGCAAGTCTATCTGTCTGATCATTTCCCAACACACCTGCATACCCTGGAAAAAATATCCAAAGGATTTTTGCTTTCTATCTGTTCACAGATATTGCAGCTGAACTCCAGCCAACGAGTAGAGATTGCAGTTCCGTACTCAGGCAAGACAGATTCGGTAAGTTAGTTAATCGATGGATTATCCACACTGCACATCGGATCCGTCCATAAGCGCTCGGATCCCATCTTCAGTAAATCCCTCAGCGTGTGGCGACTGATAACACCAGTTCTGTGTTAGTTTACTATTCTTCTTTGCCTACCTGTATAGCGTCCATGTTTGGCAACGCCTCTTTTGACCTGAAGTTCTTGTAGTCTTTTGAGTGTTGCCAGGTCAGTGTTATCTCCTGAATCAACTTCTCGTCCTCAGTTTATCAGTATTACTGGCATTTGGTTAAAAAAAATGAACTGGTGGAAGAAAATGAAAAGATGAAATTTAGAAGACACACGAGGAGCATTCAGAGGATGCTAAAGTCGAGGATGGACGGTTGTGATAGTGGTGTAGGAGAATGAGGAGAAACAAGAGGTAAAGGAAATTGTGACAAGAAAAGGAGAAGATTGTAACCGTAGTGGAGTGGGTAATGTTTCAAAGAAGAATGAAAAATTATTTGAAAGAATATTTTAAGACCGAAGAAATGCATGAAACAGCAACGGAGA